TAAAATAGCAATAAATAGGCATCTACGCATATAATTTAAACCTGAACTAGTCCGGCACTCTACAGTAACGTAACTGGTCCGACGTAGTTTGTGAGGCTACTTTTTTCGGAGGCAAAAAAAATAAAATAGGCAAAATGAATTTTTTTATTTAACATAGATGTTAAAAACATTACTTAATAATAATAATATGTAAAAATAAACATAAAAACAAAATTAACCCAAAACTAAAATCCGCACAGAAATTGTGAAGGTAAAAATTACAAGAAAAATCGTGACAATTCAGTGTGGAAAATGGTGAGACGGTTCAGAAAGCCGTTCTCTTCACTTCCCACACTGAAACAAAATGACAATACTTACGTAACTGACGAACAAAAATGTACAGCTTTCGGTGAATTCTTTCAGGAGAATTTCAAAAATGAGCAGGCTAATAACCCCAAACAGGAAGAAATATCTAACATCGTGAAAGATATTAGCAACATGCCAATACAAAATGTTCCACCAGAACAACTTACATCTCCCTCAGAGATTATAAATAATGTTAAAATGTCACCCAGTAAGAGGGCCCCAGGACCTGACGATATACACAACAAACTATTAAAAAATCTATCAAAAAAATGTTTTGTACAATTGCACTACATTATAAACGCAATACTCAAACTCCAATGGTATCCGGACGCATTAAAAGTTGCTAATGTCGTTCCAATACACAAGCACGGCAAATCTAGATTTGATATTGGAAGCTACCGCCCCATATCTCTTCTCAACGGCATCGCCAAAATTACAGATCGTGTCCTGCTCACGAGATTACACACTTACGAACTAGACAAACCTATTATTCCATCGGAACAGTACGGTTTCAAAGCTGGCCACAGTACGATTGCGCAAGTACTGCGTATTGCCCACCATGCTAAAAAGGCATTTAATGAAAATAAGCAAACAGTACTTGTCGCTCTCGATGCTGCAAAGGCGTTTGACACCGTCTGGATCGATGGTTTAATCCACAAAATGTTTATGAATGATTACCCTGTTTTCATTGTAAAAACAATTCAAACATACTTACTTAACCGTAAATTCTACGTTAAAATCAATAGTTCGAGACAAGGACCATACACTGCGCATGCGGGAGTCCCTCAAGGTTCGGTACTTGCGCCCCACCTGTATACTATTATGACTCATGATTTTCCCATGGGAACTAATGGTATACAGACGGCCTTGTACGCCGATGACACCTGTATCTTTAAAACCTCGGAATCTGCAGAAATTGCAACAAGAAGGCTGGACATCCATGTAAATAGATCGGTCTTACCTTATTTCAAAGAAAATAAAATTAAGATAAACACCTCTAAAACAGAGAGTTTATTATTATCGCATAGGTACACAGAGGGTATCATTACAAAATTAAAAGTTGACGATCAAACTATTAACACTGTAAATAAAGTCAAATATCTGGGTTTTATACTTGATAGAAGGCTTAAATTTGGCCCACATATCAAAGATAGAGTCGCCAAAACTGTTGGCGCAATTAAAGCACTATATCCTTTGCTAAACAGGAGAAGTGGGTTAACATCGAAGAATAAATTACTCATATACAAACAAGTATTAAGGCCGATTTTATTATACGGAAGTCCAGTCTTCTGCTCAATGTCCAACACGCAATTCAATAAATTACAAATCCAACAAAACAGGTGTCTTCGACTGGCATTGGGGTACGACCGTTATGCCAGAATTCGAGAAATGCATGAGCAAACATCTATGGAAACTATTAAAGAACATATCCTTAGACTGTCAGAGGGCTTTTATTCTAAATGTCTACCCCCAGACCTTAAAACTGACATAATGTCTATGCACCAAGGGGATGGTGTTAATAGAATCCATGGGTGTTTGCACAAAGCACTCAAGATCTATACAAGAGACGGATAATGAAAATATAAATTCAAACGAAGACATACATCCACCTTAGCAGCGAAAACCCCACTGAATACTCAAATCACAACGTCGACTAGTTAGCAACTTTGGTAGGACGGAAGACTGCACTGTGACGTCATCGCTCGGTGCGAAAATTTCGTGGCTTGCTGCGATGTTTGTATCGGGCCGTGGTGCTACTGTGTAGTCGTGTGATTTGAATTTTCATGTACATAAACTAACAAAAGACGTACTTACAAACAAGGACAACCCTGTTTTTTACGAACGGTTTTTCAGGGAAAAACAGACAAAATTAAATTCAACAAAAAATCCGAACTTTTCCAATATTGTTCAAATGAGTTCGTCAGTATTGACTTATAATACTGTTTTACAGTAAGGAGAGGTCACTCATACACAAATTTTAAATAATACGCGTTGATTATACGGTCATACCATCGGCCAGGTCCCTGTTGACGTGTAGAAGAGAAACTTCAAGAGCACGTATGCGAAGAAATCCTTCTACAATATATTATAATTGATGTATTATTATAAACCTATGTACATAATGTAAATAAAGTTGTTTTGAAAGTAAGTAATTACAAGAAAAAAAAAAAGAAAAATTCTTTTATATTGCAATATTAAATTGTCAAAGTGTTAGGTAAACAAAAACTTATATAAAAAACATGGCTACCTGTCGAGCTACAATTGGGAAAGGATCAGATATAAGGACCTGCCTGTGGGAGGGTCCCAATAATCAATAAAAAAGAATTGTTTGTATCCCGTAGTCTGTCAGACGACGCTGGACTAGTTAAGGGTTAAAGAAGATCCTACAACTTTCTCAAAATATTGTAGATGTCTTATTAAAGAGTATATTTCGATTTGCAATTTATTTGTTTATCAATGTAACATGAAATCTTATGTTTTTCGAGTAATTAAGGTGTAAATTTTAATAAATAGCTCAAAATTGTACATAATGATTAAAAAAAAATTTAGATTCGATTTTTTCGTTTCTTTGCATTTTCTGAGAACATTTACCATAGTAATGTATATATTTTTTCACACCATCAAAAATGAGAGATTTCAACGAGCAAGAAACCCACCGCCTTTTTTTACTTTCCTATCTGTATACAGATATAAGGAAAGTATAGGAATCATGATTTTTTTCGACCTCGAGTTTTCGATGGATTTTTACGTTTTGAGGTCCCCTGAATCCGTTTTGACTATTTTCGCGATGATGTCTGTGTGTGTGTGTGTGTGTGTGTGTGTGTGTGTGTGTGTGTGTGTGTGTATGTGTGTGTGTGTGTGTGTGTGTGTGTGTGTGTGTGTGTGTGTGTGTGTGTGTGTGTGTGTGTGTGTGTGTGTGTGTGTCTGTCTGTGTGTGTGTGTGTCTGTATAACGCATAACTCATGAACCGATACACGGAAAAACACCAAATTTCAAACTTAAGCTTTGTTCCAGCGTCTAATGAGCTGATTAGATTTTGGGCAGAGTCGGAACATCTGGGGGGGTACTTTATAGGTGGTCATTTTTATATTTCATGGAATATCTGTTATCTACGTTTGGAGAAGAAAATTCTTCAAATAAAAGTTATTTTTAATATAATTATCTATAATTTTTGTTCTATGCAAAATTTTCCTAAAATGGTCCGTATTCGAGAAATTTGACAAAATGTAAAAAAAATAATTTCTTATAAAAATTGTTTAAATAAAAGTTGTTTGTAATATAATTCTCTATAATTTTTATTCTATACATAATTACTCTAAAATGGACCGTATTTGAGATATTTGAGAAAATGTGTAAATTTAGAATTTTGAAGAAAACTCAAAAACGGATAAAGAAAAAAACATTAAATTTTAAACTTAAGGTTTATTTCGGCCTGACGTGAAATGATTAGATTTTAGACATAGTCGGAACATCTGGGGGGGTACTTTATGGGAGGCCACTTTTATATTTTATGGAATATATCTGTTATTAATGTTTGGAGAAAAAAATTGTTCAAATAAAAGTTACTTCTAATAATATTATCTATAATTTTTGTTTTATGTAAAAATTTCCTGAAATGGTCCGTATTCGAGAAATTTGACAAAATGTGCAAAATTCTGAATTTTATGAAAGTTTTTGAAATAAAAGTTGTTTGCGATATCGATCTCTATAATTTTTGTTTATACATGATTTTTCTAAAATGGACCGTAATGAAAAAATTGTAGGAAATTTTAATTTTTCAGTATTTTCGTTTTTCATGAATATCTATAGAAAAATGTTTCGAGGTAGATGTATGTGGACAATATATATATTTAGTTTATCCTCTAAACATTTATAGAGATGCTGCAATAGGTTGTACAAAATAACCGGAAAAAGCCTATAATAACTAGATAGGAAAGTCATGTGTTGGACACATCAGATTTTTAAAAAAGCAGATATTTTGACGGAAGAATTTACCATTGAAAATTAGGGTACTTTTTCGATATTAAGACAAAATAAGGTGAAAAAATAAATATTTTAAATAAAAAAAATTACAGTGTGTTTGGGACATAAATTTCCACCAAATTTCGTGACAAAAAATGTTTTTGCAAAAGATAAAAATAAGAAACCAAAAACTTGATTATTTCAATTTTTTACATAAAATTTGAGGTTATGTGAAAAAAGTGTAAAAACAAAAGTTGTAGATCTTTTTATTACTTACAACATTGCCACTTAACTTTTTCCATAGGACTTGTAGTTTTGCCGGAAATCAAGATAAACCGTTTTCTAACCTTTAAGGACCCCCCCCCCCCCATTCACTTCCCGACCTTAGATCGCCTGTATATTATTTTTCCTTTTATTTTTGTTATATTCTCTTCCTTTTACAATGGATTTCATCCTTCTATCATTTTTTTTTGTTTCAAAAATTATCGACACTGGTCTAATACGTCCATATTTGACAACTTTGGTGGGTTAACTGTAAAAAATAGTTGGCACAGCTTTGCAACTGGTCACTTGCGAGTGCTGATTGATAAGAGAAATACAGTTTTTAGACTCGTTCAGGAAAAAAATAGCTTGAACAATAATAATTTGTACATAACCCAATTATTAATTAATATATGTTTTCAACAATTTAGAACCAATTTGTAAGGACCACTCCATGTTTTGCCCAAACGTTAAGATGATGAACATGTGCAAGATAATGAGATACCAGCAGCAGTGTTGCCAAACTTGCAGACAATGAACGAGAAAACCGGATTTTTAGAAAAATCCAGCTGAAGAAAGCTTTGTGTGTTCATAATAATAACAAAAAACTGTTACCTAAATTGATTGTTTTCCTTTTGTGATTATATAATAAGCCACTTACGTAATTTGGATGAAGGAAAGGATATATTTTGGTATGATCTGTGGGTTCGACAAAATGTTTGTTATGGAAATAAAATTGTTTATTGAATAAAAAAAAAATTCTACCAAATATTTTGTAAATAGTTACGATTGCTATTTCTTACAGTAATATAATTTAATATAAGCCATTTGATTAATACAATAAATAATTATGTATATAACCATATTAGTGGCTCAATTTAATATTTTAAGCTCCACTACTAAAATTTTGTATTAGTATATTAACAGTTGTGTAAGAAATAGTAATATAATAAAAATTAAGGCAAAACGCGTAAAAAATTAAAAATTGTAAAAACACTACATTTTTGTTTATGGTTTTTAATTCTTTATCTTGCCCCTTTGAAGATGAATAATTGTTTTTATAATAGAAACGCCTGTGAACATTTTTACTTTTTAAAAACTTTTACTACATCCAAAAACTATATCATTATTGAACAACTTTGAATATTAAATGGAAAGAAAATTAATTTTTTTAGGGCGTTTGCCATTTTTTTGTTCTTAAATCGATTTCTTCTGTAGCTTTTGAAATTAGTCATTTAGATTGGCTGGTGTACAAACTGCCATTGTAAAATACACCCTTGTTTTCAAAAGTGAATTCAAATTATTTTTCTTTCTCTTGAATACTTAATCTTCAGAAATTTGAATTTTAAGTTAAAAGTGAAACAGTGATTTATTTGTTAATATACCGTGTGTTCCACAACAAAGTAATATAATATTTTTGATACAGGTTTAGATAAAATTTAGGCAATGGTGTGAGAGCCTGCAGTCAATCCGAGTAAGGTGTTGAACAAAAATATAAAAATGTGTATGGAAATAATGCTGCCCTCATACAGAAGAAGACCGTTAAGTGCTAAAATTTAAATGTATGGTACGACAAAAAACCAATACAATAATTTTTCTAGAATTACATGAATGCCTCTATTTTTATTTTAATAAAAACGAATAAAAATTGAGACACTATTATCAAAATATTACATAAAGTTAATCAAGTTGCTATTTTGTAGAAAAAAAAACTAAACTGTTGTTTGCTTATTTAGTAAATTGTTATTTTTTTTAATATATAATTTTCATAAAGGCCGTAAAGTATAGGAAAACTACCATTAAACTAAACAAAAAACTACTTTTAGTCCAGTAACTGAAGACCTGAAAATATGCAAAGCTGTCATTAAGTCGGTCCAGATTTCCTTTGTTGTTCAATTCTTAAGTCTTGATGGTTTCTTTTAAGGGCGAAAACTTTTACCAACACTGCTGGGTCGAAAAGGGCTCAAAATGGCCCCTAAAGTCCTAAAAAATGGTATCCCGCTAATATCTGCCAAAATACACAAATTAGACAATTTTTGTTTAGAAGATCGTATCATTATCTACAAAAATGGTCCCTGTCATTTTTTTCGCAAGACGAATATTTTTTACAAAAACGGCCTTCGAAAAAGCCCGAAATTTTGCACTGAATAGAAATGTTAGTTTCTCACTGAATTTCCACTCGAGGGAGTTGGGAATACATTGATTTTCATGTTTTGGACTTTGGAGACCAATTTTAGATGGCGCCAGCGGCATACCTCTGCTCACTAAATTATGGGGCCTATGAATGGAAATCCGGGCACCAATCGATCTTTTGACAATTATTGGCGGATTCTACGGGATTTTTTCTGTAAAGTAGCGCTTGGGGTATCTCATCTATATTGCCGAATGTTCTGTGTAATTTGCGTTACAAAATTTAATAGAAAAGTGCCAAATTTTTTTTTTCATGTGGCAGTCTCAAATCCCGGCGCTTTGCCTAATAGTGGGTTATTAGTTTTAGAGTGTGATGAATATTGACCAGAAAAGACCCTTTATATTTTCTGCGTCTTTTGCAAAATTTTCGCCAACTTCTATCGGAACAATATAGGTCCAGGATTTCAGAAAAATAAGAAATTTTCTGAAAATTTTCTTTTATTATGAAAAACATGTTGAAAATACGAAATACATAGCAATGCTTATAATTTATTATACGTTAAACCATTCAATGTCATCAGAATCATACTCTTCATCGTCTTGCTCTTGCACTATTCCTTCCCCTCCTCCACGCGTCCCTTCCCCTGTTTTTCCAACCCCTATGTTGCTGTCTTGACAGCTATTTCATTCTCCTCCCCTTCAACCCCTTCTGGGTCTCGATCCATCTCTAATTCTTCCGGGATTTTTCACAAAGAAAAAGTATTATTTGGAAGATTATTTTGTTTAGGAAACATATAAACAAGACTCCACTTTTGAGGATAGAAAAATCCATATAACTTTTTCGATTTTATTTATATCGCTTCTTTGGAAGCCACATTTGGCCTCATACCGCCACAGGTAGATTTAAAATATAGTTTGGATATAAAATTAGTTAAAATAATAATTCTTACATCATTTTACATAAAATAAATTATTATTTTAGGCCTTTTATTGTTAGTTTTTTAAATAGCTCAGTTACAATTTAAATAGGTATAGTATAACCGTGTCAAGGTATACCTACCTCTGGCTACCTAGTAAGGTTACTCATGTCAAGAGTCATAGGATATAACTTTAAGTAAATTGCCTCTTGCTGTATTATGGATGTTCAGTTGCAGAACAATCCTTGAATCCACTCTGTACTGTCAAACGGTAAAGGAAATTGTGTACACATTGAATGGGAAAATACGGTGGATCACTGGAAGTTACAGATAATCCTTAGACATAAGTTGGAAAATTAAAACTCAAAGATATAATTTATTTAAAATAATCAATTGTCTTTTACACTTAATTCCATTAATTGTTTTGGTAATTTACACTCACTTTGTAAAGAAAATCTTCTAGAAGGGCCGCTAAAAGCTCTGTATCTAAAGGGCTTTCTATTTTATGTTTGTTTTAACCTAAAAAAAAATATCAGTAGAAATAATTATGTGATAGATATAGCAACAAAAGACTTACCTCAACCCCAAATCTTTAACTCATTTGTGTTAAATATAGAAAAGAAAAGTAATCATTGTTTATTATTGTACTACTCGAACCCAGAATCGTGAATTTTCTTTAAATATACGAAAGAAATATATAACAACCGACAATAACGACTCCAAAAACAACAGTGATTGTATACCAACAAAAGCAGATGATTAAGGTGAGCGTGTGGCGCGTGGGTACACGTGGTTAGGTTATAATGGAATATCATGGATCTCAGACGGAAAGCGTAAAAATGGGGGAGATAATTCTAACAAACAGTTAAGAACCACGCTCACATACGGCTATCAATTGATAGAAATGGAAAGGTGAGAATATCAGCTTCACTTCGGTCTGGGTATTAATGTTCAAAAAATGAACAGCGGGGAACCAGAAGTATTTAAAAAAAAAGTCCGGTTTTCCCCGGTGTGACCAATTTTCCCGATTTCTGGAAAATAGAGCAACTTTATTAAAAAAAAAATACATTCGAAAAGAAGACACTCTAAGCTTTAAAATGGTATGCATTAAATAACAATATAATAAAATATGAGTTTTTAATTACTGCTTGTTTCAAAGATTTCTAGAACTCCGAAAACGTATGAATAATGCAAATAAACAAATCAATTTTGTTTTAAAACGTCAGGAAGATACTGGAAAAAAATTCTGAGATCATTCGAGACATCTCAATGTCCCATTTAAAACAAAAATGGGATAAAAAACTATTAAAAGAAAAAAAAATATGAATGAATTACTATAAAGTGGTCCAAAATAGTGGGAAAACGCAACTTTGACCCCTTTTTCAATGTTCTTGACAGGAAATAACGGGCTTCAAGGCACATGGATCGATACCTATGGGTTTTCCCATTGTAATGAACTTTGAATCCTCGAAAAATATCAATTTTTGACTGAGTTCTGAAATAATTTGTCTACCCGTTTACAAGCTAATCAGCATTGCTATAAAGATAAAGCAGGGGCTGAACGAGGGACTTTTAATTGCGGATATCCCGAAACCTGTCGAATTCCCGACAAAAATGATAGGGACCATTTTTGTAGATAATGATAAGATCTTTCTTTTTTATCTAAACAAAAATTCTCTAATTTGCATATTCTGAAAGATATTGGCGGGAAGCCAGTTTTAGGGTCCATTTTGGGCCCTGTCCGACGCAGCAGAGTTGGTAAAAGTTTTCGACCTTGGAAGCGACCGCCGAGACCTAAGAGTTGAGCCACAACGGAAATCTGGACCGACTTAATGACAGGTTGGTCCCTTTAGTTACTGGACTAAAAGGCTTGTAAGATGTTTTGTAATTATTGGCAAATATATCGATAATCTCACGAGTCAGAGCAAGCTTATGTTGCTTCTTTCTCTCAGCTCTTGTAGATAGGTCATCAAAACGGAGGTGACGTAGAATGAGCGAAAACCTGTTTCTCGACATAGTGGCCTGATAAATGGGTCTTGTGAAAGCATTGCTTGTAGTCAACCATCAATCTCGTAAACTTTCTCTTGATTTACGAAATCTACCGGTGAGGTTACAAATTCCTAAGAAAGCAAACATTTCTGTAGTGTCCACCTCAATCCATGACTTCATCCTGTCTTCATGGCTTTCATTATAGGTCTTCTTGAAGTCATTAGCATTTCTGTTTGTGTATTTTATAATGATATCTAACAAGTCTTCAGAAAAGAACAGCTTGAAACAGTCAGTAATAGAATTCACATTCTTACTTGTATCTGTGAGACCTTTGCTTTCTTGCAAGATATTGCATGATCTGGATTTTTCTGTTTTAGGTGCTACAGTTTACCAAGTACGATTACCTACATCGTACGACTACCTATTGCTCATTGTTTCGTCTTCTGGCGAATCCGGTAATTATTGAACTTCTTCATCTTCTTCTGATGAAACACTGCCCTTAAGTCTCTCAGCTTCTACGTCCTAAACATCTGAGAAATCACTAAATGCCTGCTACAAAGGTATTTATTCTTCAAACTCGTCATCTACAGACTGTGTCAGGATTTCATAGAGGTTCTTATCGGATAGACCCTTTTTGTTAGACCACATCGCACTTCACTATTGCTTATTTACAAAAAAATAGACTGGACTGAGTTTTTTTGCAGACTGAAGGCCAAAGTGAGAAATTTCGAACACGTGCAAAAAAACGGGAAAGAAAGCATGCTACAGCTTGTCGAATTGGAGAGTTTTAAGTTTTAACGTATACCACTGTTTCCCAAAAGCGGGTCGTTTGTGACCCAATGACAGTTTTCCGGGGAAAAATTGCTTTTTTGGAAAATTCATTCCAAAGGCAATATTCTTGTCATAAATTAAGAGAATTCACAGAATATCTCTGGAAAAAATTAGAAAAATTAGATTTCGGGTCATCACTGACCCATTTTTGGTACGGCGAGAGTTAAATTA